CCCAAAGAGAATTGTTGAGTGTCCTCTTCCAGAAGCGAAGGAGACAATCTAGCCCTTTACTGTTGTATCTTCCATAAGGGGTGACTGCCTATTCAGGCAGTGCTCTAACACCGTATTAGCAGTGTTTGGTGCTAGTCATCTGTAGAGCTTGTGCATGTTGAGTGTTACAAGGTTTGCATATGACACTAGAAAATACAGTTTCCCTAACACTGTTTTGAAACTTTAACAATTAATTTAAAAGGAATTTTTCCATTAGGTGAATAGTTTGAGATTTTCTACAGAATGTTCAAAGAATTTTTTTAAAATGAGTATGTATTACCAATAAGTCAATAGCTCCACATCTTTCAGTTTTCCAACTGTGGGTCCATTCCTCCTCCCACTGATATCAGTGCTTAAACTCTCTGATTCCAAGAGCTCGGAGCCAGTAGTAGGGCCTAAATTTATGAGTGCCCTAATGAAGCTACTGAATTGGTATATATTTGAAAGGAATTATATGTAGTAATAGCAACATCTCCTCTAAAAGAAATTGCCAAATTTTCTGGTCAAACTTTTTGGTTTTCTTCTGAGACGCACAAGGACAATAATGTCAAGATGTACCTATTATGCTTGAATGCATATTCTGACTAAGTTGCCATACAGTATCTAATTGTGCTTTTTCTACAAACTTTATTTGACTTTCACCATTTACCATCGTAGAGGAACTATATAGGAGAAGGCTAAAAGAAAAACGTAAGCCTTGAGATTCACTTTTGGCATTTTCTTAATGTTCGTTTTCACACAAATTATAGCTAAAATGCACTTCTGCAGCAATAATTTAATATCTGTTTACATTCAGCTGCTTTATCATAATGTACATGAGACAGATATTTCATTGTTTGCAGCAAGCAGACCGCTATTGGCCCTGCTTAAAGCCTGAGTCTGATTTATCACTTCAAACAAATATGAATGAAATCTCATAGGTTGCTAAATCAAATAGCTGGACTTTAAAAGGACACTGTCAAGGTTAATAGGCCCTTGTTTTGACCTTCATTTTTTTTATTTGCATGTAAAGCCAATGTGATAGTTGTTTTGTGCATGTTTCTTTTCATTTTTCTCTTTGTGATTTGTGGGAAATAGTTTTGTTTGAAAGCCTGCTTCTTCTTTTCACCATTGAGGTAAATAAGGGAAAACATTTTGGTAAGGAAATAGCTTTTCAATCAGATTTGTTTGGGATTATTACAAACAGTGAGAATGAAGTTTATTTTAAAAGTGATTAAAATACCTTGACACGGTTCTTTTGAAAGTCTAATAGCGATGAATGAAAATTAGTTCCAGGTTGATTTTTTTTTAAAGCTTTTTCTAAAAAAGCAGCTTTCTTTTTAAATCTGTCTGATTGCTTGCTCACTGCTTGCTGGTTTTTGTATTTTTTTTTATTTGATTGTGTTAGTGCATCTCACATGTTGACTAAATGCTGTTTTCTGCATGAGAAACATGTTTTCAGTACCTTCATTTGAATGTTGGTAATATATTAATCATAGCCAACTATTGCAAAATGTATGGAACTTGTAATAACTAAAATTAATAATTAAAGTATTTACAAACAATTTGAATGTGAAGCTTGAATTTTCAACCTTAAACTATTTGTTGTAAAAAGGTTTGCTAACAATGCCTTTTGCAACACTAATTTTTTCCCATTTCCTTATCCACTGTATTACTGTCTTTGAGAACTGGTAGCACAGTTCTTTGTGAACCAAATACGTCAATTTAAAAATGTCCAGGAGTGTGTTCCTTGCATGGAAGCTACGATAGATAAAATATTTTTAGGCTCTGCTTGGTCATCTACATTTGGTTCGTACAAATGGGGATGTGGGATAGTTTGTGGAAGTAGTACATGGAGAACTGATGGCAGAGTTGTGCCTATGATTAGTTAAGAAATCTCATTGTAAAAGTTTTGTAAATTTACAGAAATACAGGTTTGTGAAGACACACAGTTTTTGCCTATGCACTTTCATAAAGAACCTACAAATCTTGCATTGTAAAGATTGTGATATGCGTGGTACAGCTCTGTATTTGCTGTTTGTATTTTTGCCACAAATTTTATTCAATTATTCAAATTTAGAAAGTTTTTAATAGATTCTGGAGTCCACGGAAACCTTTTTCTTGTGCAGTGAAGACTACAAGAAGACATTCAGAATTACAGCAGGATGTCAGGCTTTCTTTTTTTATTGTTTGTTGTTGTTGATCTTCAGGCTTCACAAATATTCTTTAACCACTGTTCATGTAAACTATAGATCATTCTCCCCAGCTGGAAGATAATTTCTTTTACAATTATTTCCATAAATATGACACAGAGGAGAAACAGGTGTCAAATCTTTTCCACTCAAATTTTTAGGAAAATAAAATGTTTAAAACAAAGCCATTATATAGTATTCATTATACGTAGCACCTTTAATATGACAGCAATTGGCAAGCCTGAGCTATAGACTTCCAAAAAGTGTGATTGTCCCAGTTTAACTTTACTTATACTAGGTACTGGGCACTCAGATGGCCCAGTGATAGGCCCTGTATAAGAACCTAAGTAGAATAGAATGGAAATTAGATTACATATAATAAACATTTTTCTCTTAACATTTTAAAACTATTTTAGATCAAGAAGTTCAACGACTGAAGATAGGAATGGAATCGTTGTTAGCTGCAAATGAAGAAAAGGTGAGGAAATGGTTAGGATTAACGTGCCCCTTTGCAGTAATAATGGAGGTGTGTCAAGAAGGTCTAATTTATTGCATCTCTGCAATGATCTAAAATGCTGCTTTCATAAGGCCAACATCACTGTGAGTTGCCTGGTGTCGCATGGGGTTATGGGACTTATGTGGCTAACCTTGAAAGTGTGATGCTGCCTTTCCCCACCAGCCCAGCTGCAGCATCTTTACAATGGGATTCTCATCTGGGAGCTCTTTTGCCTGGGGAACAGAGATCCAGGGTTACGGGCATCCCGCCTTCTCCGCCTTATAAGGTTCACTGACCTTTCAGCAACACTTTGTGGCCCTCCAGCCACTCTTACATGGCTTTCCATTACAGAATCAGAATCAGGAGTGCCTTGACACTGTCCGTTTAGATTCTGCACCAGAAAGTGGGCTGAGAGTGACCTTTGAGTCTGAAACTGAACTCACGGGTGGAGAGAGCCAGAAGAGTCCAGAAAAAGCCAAGAGAAAAGTTAGAAGAAATAATTTGACATCTTTAAATAGAACAGTGTTCCTACCTTTTGATTCCGCCGCTATGTGCTAGTTCTTCTGAACTATCTTTGAGTGGGAGGTTTTAAGGCACAATCCTGCAAGATGCTGCGCAGCTTCAAATCCCATTTACTTATTGTCTAAGTTGTTTCTCACTCTTGCAAAAAATAAATAAATAAAAATTAAAGTTTGGTGGTTTTAAATGGAGGTTTTTAAGAAAATTACGATCAGGGCACCGTAATAGCAAAAAGGCAGGCCAGAGTGTGCATTAGTAAGTTGTTAGTCCATGTCAATAGATGCGAGGTGTGGGCAAGTAGCCTCTTAATACACACCCTCATATAGGAAGCAGGGTACACTGAAAGGGAATTAAGCACCTCATAAATGAACGTGACTCATAACAGGCTGAGCTGCTTAAATGGTCAAAAAGCCAAAATTTACATCCAGACAATAAAAGCCGTGGCGTTATCTTTTAGCAGAGCTGTTACAAGGCTGTATAACATTTTGCATTCTAAGAGGAATATCAAATATCTTTGCTCACTTTCTAGTCTCAGGGACTGTATTCATAGGGACAGGAGACCCATTCCATTAGCACATATGGAGTGTTTAAGTAGCTGAGTAGTGGCCAGTATAGGGGTACATGGCTGCTGTCTGTAAAGCAGCCAACTTGAATAATGTGGCTGCATGTGCCATTTAGGACAGCAAGTAAAGGAGTCAGATGCTTAAGGTTTTTGGAAGTTGCTCTGTTTAAGTTTAAGATGCATGCATACGTTTTTGGAGTGAATATTCCAGTGTCTGCTTTTCATTACAGAGAGACCCTACTGTCTCCATAGTTATGGTAAAAGCTGGATGTCTATTATAAGCCCAATTTTTTTTTTGTAGACTTCTTAGGGCAAGTAACAGCAGCACCTTCTCTTCTCTTACCTGCAAAACTCCTACTTTCCATGTCTACAAATTTACTGTTTTGCCTTGTGTTGTGGGTGGGAGAGAGAAATGAATGTTGTTGCCAGTCTGGACTGCTATGAGAACCCTGTGCAAATTCCAGCAGAGAGCAATGAAGTCCATCCTAACATAGAGACTAGAGGGCTTTTTTTTTTTGAAATTGTTTTGCTTGTCAATAAACCTTGGTCTCACATTAGGGAATGTACTAGTTGGTGGCATGTACATTTTTGTTCACTGCTGCATTGAATCAGACTTCCTCAGTTGCCTTGCTCTCTTGTCACCGGTCTATGAAGAGGAATTAAGCCCTACTACTAGTGTTTGTGGAGATTTTCCTTTAACTCTAATGACAGAGGCCTGTGCATTTCATGGTGGAAATTCATGACTTTTATCCTAAGTTTTGGAGGGGAGGCAAGGAAGGGGTGGCTTAGGCAGAAGCTGTGGAGTCTACGTACCTAGACAGCTGAGAATCTTTACACTATTTGTCAGTTTAAATACTTGGTGTCTTTAAAGTCAGTGGTGTCTTTCATCATTCACTGTCCAAGCCCCAAATACATCTGACACCTTGAGGGGACACCTAAAGGGATAGGCCAAGAGGTCATCTCTTCATTCTGCTATGCTGTTTTTTCCTCTCCTCTTCCACTCGAATGGCTGCAACTTCAAGAGGAAGAAAAGGGGATGTTGAGCCAGATACTCAGCCCCACTAAATTGGCTTTGTGCTATTCTAGCAGCACAAATGGGACTAATAACTAAGGATAGTTTATTTCAAAAGAAGTTGGCACCCACAGTTGAAGCCAGATTGTCCAACTGAGCTCAGTGCTCCCACTCAGACATCTCATTGAAGTGGCCAGGTTTTCAAAAGATTTTTAGGGAGAGCTGTTGCGGGCTGAGCCATTTTTGAAAATCTGGCCTTAAGTGGGCGAACTGGGGATTCTCAGTAAGGGGAAAACCTCAGACAAAATATAGTTTCATATCTGACTCTATACCATCCCCTCCTGGCCCACCATGTGGGAGCATGTTGAATGTAGGAAGAGTATGTGGCCAGGTCACACTGTACTTCAGTGATCCACATCAATCAAGCCAGTGCAACTTAACACCGCTGTAGGGCTGCTCTAAGTTATGACCTTCGGGACGGGGGGAGATGAGCTGGTGAAAAAGGTAAGTCAAGGTCTGCTCCTGAACAGCTGAGGTTTCAGTTCAATCAAACCAAAGTTCTTTATTGCTGTGCCTCTGTAAATAACTGATTTGGTATCAAATTAATCTGGGGGTTTTAAATATAATAGTAAATTCATATATTTCACCAAATAGTATGTACAATGCCAGCTAAAAGTTGAGGAATTAATGTTCTATACAAGGCACATGGGATTCTGGACACGATTCCTATTGAGAATAGGCACAAATCCCCAGGCGTCACAGTGAATGTATAGCTATTAATAATATGTATAACTTCTTATATCTACAAATGTAATGGTATTAAATTTGGTACTTTGAATATGAGTTCCCTTTAATGTTTTTTTTGCAGGACCGTCGAATAGAGGAGTTAACAGTGCTGCTAAGCCAGTACAGAAGGGTGAAGGAGATAATGTTAGCAGCTCATGGTAAAATAAGTGTTATGGATAATGTCTGATGTGTGGTCTTCCTGAATACTGTATGTTCTGTAATGAATATTCCTTAATAAGGCATAAAAAGAAGGCCACACAATAAGGCATAAAAAAATAATCTGTTTAAGGCAAATTATAATTTTCATCTGTCACATTCTAGACATTTAATTTTGGTTAACATGCTATACTACACATCATAAAACTAGGGTCAAAACTGATTAGGAGATTTAGCCACACCACTCCCATTCATATAGACTTGTATGGCTGAATCCCTTAGTCAGTTTTGAAAGTCTTAACCTAAAAGTTTGTTTTACATCATTCAATAGCAGGTTGGAATGTAATTCTGAAATTCTGTGTTGCTCTAAATGGTGTCATTAAGATTCCTTTATACGAGAGAGCTTCTCAGTCAATCAGATTTATTGTTTGTTTTTATACTAGCACTTAGGAATCCCAGTAAGAATTAGGACCCCATTTTGTACAGAGTACAAAAAAAACTCTGCCCGAGTAAAGCTCAGAATCTAAAGACAGGACCAGCAGTGGTTATAACAAAAGTGAGAAGAAGAGGGCTCAAAAGCAATAAGCGCTTGTGTTAACATAGGTTTGCAATGTGCATGACTAGATGCTTTAATTCTTTTATTATACTCTTCTTTAATTAATAATAAGACACAAATTTCAGTAGTGCAATATGGCTCCAGGAGACCTTAATCAGATGACGATAAGTCACACTATACTTTTAATACTATTCAGACTTCTTTCATATCAATTTAACTCCAAGTGCAGCAACAATGATCATCTGTCAAACAGCAAGCTAGCATTATGGGTGCAATGTTTCTGTACAGGTCATTGTTTTCCTTGATGTAAGAAGTGTTTTTACAGTAGGTTCATTACAAATAACTTTATTTTTGGATGCAGCTGATCGGTGTTAAGAGAACCGTTTTTTTTTCTTTGCATATGATAATTTGTTAAATGAGTATAGTAAATTCTTCCAAAACAAATATTCACAGCTGACTACTTGGGCAAATGCTGATATGAGAAAAAACTACAGCCTTATCAATGTATTACAAAACACTACTTAATTAATTAGGATGTACTTGGGGATCATCCTTGTCTATTGCATCACTTACGTTGAGAATGGGATAGGTGTTTTAGGGTAGTCTCACTTTTAGATTACCTCTATTATCATAGTTCCACTGACGTCAATAAAGCTATGATAATTTACAACAGTTAAGGATGTGCCCATAGGAAGCCATGCTTTGTGGCAACACCAAATAAACTTCCACTTCACATCACAAGGGCTCAGTCAACAACAGCAGGTTTGCTGGCTGTCTTCTGAACCTAACAAGGTAATAATGCACACTAGTCCAAATAAACCAGGAAATAGTCTATCCTTGTGGCAGCAGCAAGGCTTAATATAGCTGGCAATAGTTTTCCGTAGGTGATTATGATCAAACCACCTCAGTCTGGTAAATGAGGGATAATTGAAATTTTAGTAAACAGATTTATCCACCATGAAATACTAGCCCATCTGATTAGACAAGCCTAGGAAATATCATCCATCCTGTCTGCATTTAGAATAGCAGAGCCATGAAGGTAAGACCAAGCATATGCAAAGGAATTTCTCTTTTTAAAAAAATGCATCACAAAATGCACATTTTAAGGACCTGATCCAAAGCCCATTGAAATTAATGGGAATCTTCAGTTGACTCCATAAGCTGTGGGTCAGACCCTAAGTTAGTACCATTACCACCATTTGAAATGTTACTAAACACCTAGCTTGGCGTTTTCACTGCATTAGGCAGGGGCGCTGGAGCAGTTTTTATAGTGCAGGTGCTGACAGCCATTGTACCAAACTGTAAACCCTGTATATGATGGAAACCATTTCAAGCAAGGGGATGTGGCAGCACCCCTAGTTCCAGCATCTATGGTGTTAGGTTGGGTTTGGAAGGTCTCATATGAGCTGTAATATGGTCGCCAATGAGTTTGCCTATACTATTAGTCCTTTACTTCTTGTTAACACCACATTGTGACATCTGAAGAGCAGGTCAGTCAGCATAGCAGCCAGAGTAGTCTTCTTTTTCAGCAGACGTGAAAGACAAAAGAAAAGCTGAACACTTTCTGACCTGTCATGCATTTTCATTAGCTGAATAGGGTCTGCTGTTGTTAAGCAGTATTTTGTTTTACATAATTATAACACTTTCCAGAGACATAATGAAACTCTTATGAGTCCTTTTGCAGTGATCCAATTTTCTATAATTAAATACAAAACATTTGGAGAAAGTCTTTAAAATCATTAAGTATAGAATAATGTGAAAAATAAATTGACCAGATATCCTTGTTTTCTCCAGAATTCAGAATTGTGTCTCAAGTGAACACAAGTTTTCATAGCTCCTATTTATTTTCAAAAAAGTCTGGTACATTATAATGTACTGCATTTGGTTGTTTGCTCCAGAGAAACCTTTATTATCTGAAGAAGTACCACCAAAGAACTGAAAAGAGATTTCAGAGGAAGATCTTAAGATTGGAGCTGTCCTAGGGTTTGTGTTGGTGTTTAGAGTTGGTTTTAGTTGTGTTGGGGGGCATTTGGTGGTGGCTGGGTTTTTTCTGAGAAAAATCTGGGCTGTTTATATGGGGAAGAGCTTCAAAGCATATTCAGAGAGAGATCTTGCAAAATACATAAGTAGCTCATGTTAAGGCAAAAGAAAAAACATTACAAACAGTTACACATAGCTGTGTAACTTCTATTTTATCCTCCAAGTATGCCTCACATCCACTAATAAGTATAAATCCTTTTCTTTGAACAGGATAGTTGAAGAGTTTCTTTTATATCTGTTAGTGATCATAGGTTGTATAGATCAGCTAGTAAAAGATAGTGAAATGAAGATACAGTTCATATCAGCTGGGTACAATTCACATCACTTAACATTATCCTCAGACTCGCATGTTTATGGCAGAGAAACCTAAAAATGTACTACATGTCTTGCTGTAAATTACTGATTGTACATCTGAGATTATACTGTTATCAACAATAACAATGCCTTTTGAGTACTTCACTTCATTCCTAGAATGGCCTTGAGAGAACAGCTTTCATGGTGGGAAATTTTAAAGGACTGCACATTCTGTTTCAATATTATTCCATTTATCAGTCTTTGTAAAGGCACACACATGCACAAGATCTGTTCAGACACTCTTTGAACAAGTTCCAAGTTAAGACTTGGCTGTAATTTGATCCTTTCTATATTTCTGCAGCAATTTTATTGAAAATTTATTGAAATTAGCTGTTATAACAGGTTAAATCTCAAAGGAAACCTTGCTCTACTCAAAGGCCTAGAAGAGAACATAATTCAGAAAGAAAAGTGTCTCTTTTTCCACTTCAGCCTCTGTTTCAGATTTACCTTCCAATTGCATACATCTACCCTGCAGGCTTCTGTGTCAGAGTTAAAGGCTGCTTTGACATGTGACATGGATTTATTTCATTGTGAATTAGCTTAAGTACTCTGTCACTAAAGTCAAATGAAAGCTGGAAATGTTAGTTCTGTGCAGCATCTTCAGATTAGGGTGGAGGAACTGTCCCTGGGGGATCAGTGATCCAGCAACTGCTGTGGTTTAAAAAAAAAAAAAAGTACTCTGTAGATTGATGAGCTGGAAAATAGAGAATTTAACGAGAGGTGTTCTGTTGATGTGAATCATTATTGATCGTCATTACTGATATTCTGTGTCAGGATAAAATGACACTGGATTGTGAGTACCAGAATTTCAGGGTACATTTCTGTATTTAAATAAATTAATTTAAATTTAAAAAAATAACTATTCTCTTTGGAAAATCATGGGAGACAGGAGAGATTCCAGAAGACTGGAAAAGGGCAAATATAGTGCCCGTCTATAAAAAGGGAAATAAAAACAACCCAGGAAACTACAGACCAGTTAGTTTAACTTCTGTGCCAGGGAAGATAATGGAGCAAGTAATTAAGGAAATCATCTGCAAACACTTGGAAGGTGGTAAGGTGATAGGGAAAAGCCAGCATGGATTTGTAAAGAACAAATCATGTCAAACCAATCTGATAGCGTTCTTTGATAGGATAACGAATCTTGTGGATAAGGGAGAAGCGGTGGATGTGGTATACCTAGACTTTAGTAAGGCATTTGATACAGTCTCGCATGATGTTCTTATCAATAAACTAGGCAAATACAACTTAGATGGGGCTACTGTAAGGTGGGTGTTATGACTGGCTGGATAACCGTACTCAGAGAGTAGTCATTAATGGTTCCCAATCCTGCTGGAAAGATATAACAAGTGAAGTTCCGCAGGGGTCTGTTTTGGGATCGACTCTGTTCAATATCTTCATCAACGACTTAGATATTGGCATAGAAAGTATGCTTATTAAGTTTACAGATGATACCATACTGGGAGGGATTGCAACTGCTTTGGAGGATAGGGTCATAATTCAAAATGATCTGGACAAATTGGAGAAATAGTCTGAGGTAAACAGGATGAAGTTTAATAAAGACAAATGCAAAGTGCTCCACTTAGGAAGGAACAATCAGTTTCACACATACAGAATGGGAAGAGACTGTCTAGGAAGGAGTACGGCAGAAAGGGATCTAGGGGTTATAGTGAACCACAAGGTAAATATGAGTCAACAGTGTGATGCTGTTGCAAAAAAAAGCAAACGTGATTCTGGGATGCATTAA